CGACAAAAATGTTTGGTTCGTAACTGTTAAATCTTTCTAGAAGGGTTCTAAAAAGCGCATGAGCAAGCTTGTAAACTCCGAATGGCCCGCTTAAAGCACTTCGATCGATATTACCCGAATTTTGTAAGCTCCTCTTACGTCCTATTCTATTCTAGAATTATCCCATTCCAGCAGTGTACCAATTTCGGATCGAAAGCACGGTGTCTACTTACCTAGGATCCCGTAAAGTTCAGCCTACAAAGAAATTGTCTCCTAAAGCATCTGATACTCTGATGAATCCGTAACCCAGATGTAAGTCACCAGACTGAATGGCAAAGTCTATAATTTTCTCTGGAAGATCCTTCAAGTACCGATGTGAACGTAGCATCGGTGCATTGCGGGTCTAATGGAATTCTACGTGACCCGGTTGGTCCTCGTGGAGGACTTATCGGCTGGGACCACGTAGAAATCACCTAGCAACGCAAGAGCACCGTCGTCGCGACGTCTACTTTAGTCCTCGACGACGCCTTTTCAACGGAGACCATCCCAGACGGGTAGCGTTTGGTCGCGTCGGCGTCGACGACCAACGTAGAAGCCGGAGGATGCCGCTGCTGATGATGGTGGCGGCAGTGGCGTCGACTGTACCCGCCAGGGTGGTGGTGGTGGATGGAGGAGGCCGTCGTGGTCGCCAACCCTCACTGCCGCTCCCGACGGCCAGCAAATCAGTAGTTTAGCTCGTAGTCTCCGCAATACGCCGTCTACTTCATCTTTCCATGAAACGCTCATTTTTCTGATCGTCAATCTATCCCAAACTGTACGCACTCCAGTCCAGTCGTTTTGTTAATAACGCCTGGTTAATTTTTTTAGAAGGTTACGACAAAGACGTCACAGTACCTACTCTATACTGGATGACGTCGACGAACCTACCTACGAGTATTTAAACAATGATGATGGTGCATTTGTTTCGCTTTGCTCATCAGGCTGAAACGTAATATTTAATGGTTGGTTGTTTTTCTTTTTTTTTTTTTTTTTTATTTATTCAGTGCGATAAACCAACCCTTATCGTCGTTAACGACCCTCGACGTTTCGCGCCGTTATAACAGTTGTGATGTCTCTCATACAAGTTTACCGTATTCCTTATATCTTTACTCTACGTTTTCACGTGCTTTCCGGCAGCCTTTGACGAACTCGGGTCGCTACGTGAACGGCTACGACGCGACGTGTGCCTGATTCTTAATGTACGACGTGTTTTACGATCAGTGACAGGTGCTAATTTCTTGTGCTCTGAGTATCGCGAATTTTACGTTTCAAGAACGTCGCGCTTACTTTGAAACTCAATGTTATTTTCTACTTGCGTGTACGACTCTAATCGGGGATTTGTTACTCATAATTATTGCATTTAAATATTTATCATTGATCCTTTCATCATTTTTTTTTTCAATATTGTGAAGATTTTACAATACGGAGAAAAAATTCGTAATATCAGTAATATACGATTTACGTAGATTACGTATTTTAATGTTCGTGGAACGTTTTTTTGATTTTCTAAAAGTCTGTATTACGAACATTTTTTTAAATTTCGAGTGATAACGTAACTTTTGTTATACAAGTTGCTGCATCCAATCTTCATGAATTCACATGATCTTCACGATGCATAGGAACTTTTGATTTATTGAAATTCTTGAAAATCCTATTTCACAAATCAAACTCCATCCTATTCTTTGTTTATAGAATATATTGAAAGCAAAGAATCTGGCGAAATTGAATTTTTTTCTCTATATGTGTATCTTATACCAATATAACCTTCTGTCATACTACAAGCCAATCCATTATTCATCCCAAAGATACGTCAAGCGTATAAAAGAAAAAAGAACGACATTAGCTTTCTGTTTTGTATATAAGATACTAGGTTCAATTTAAAAAAAATTACGTCCGCGATAAAGGTAGTAAAACAAATGGGAAAAATCTGTCAGTCTTGAATTCCCAGATGGTTTCATAGCCCATACACATCTATATTGGAACTTCATTTTCTGGTATCCATTTATCCTAACCCATTTTCAATTGAGATCTTCGTTTGACCTTTCACCTTTCACCCATGACATTAATCACCTCAATTACATTATTATTACGTAATTGACAATTTTTATAGAAACTTGTCCCCAGGAACCATTCTCGTACACCCAACTAGTAATTTAATCGACACGTTCCTAAACGAGTTGAAGGTATCCCGGTGCGCCGTCATTACAAAAGTGTTAACAGCGTCATCAAAAGTTCGTTTCCGACGGGACCGAAGAATTAATTACATTAATCAAATAGCCTCGACTTGGAAATAAAAAGCTAAAATTCTCAAACTTTTCGCTTTACCGTCGTGTTCCATTCACTTGGAGTACAGAGGGTGTGACTCTCGGAGTAACGTAATTCCGCGTCTTATCGACAAAGGAAACAAAAATGACAAGACTGATGAAGTGCAGTACTGAGGGGAAAAGAATGTGACAAATATTCGTGCCTAACGGAATAAACGTTAATCGGCTTGCTGTACAAGTGCTGGGAAGCTTCGAAGAAAGGAATTAGAGCGTGATGCCTCGTGGGAAATAGATAATAATATCTGTAATAAAGTATATGGTGCCCTTCGTGATTTTATCCAAGAGACTGACCGGTATATACACGTTATATACATATACGTAAATATATACACATATATATTTGAATTTGCGCAAGCTCAAAAAGTAGAAGACCCGCACGAGTCATTTGGCGCGCTTTTCGAATATAACGAATTTACATAGCGATCGATTCACACCTGCACACACGCGTATATACAGGGTGGCCCAATAACTTTGTCCACCCCGAATATCTCTGTTATTTTTAGAGATATAGAAAAACTGTATCTATGAAAGTTGTATGGTTCGATGGGGGTCATAATATGCATGTAATAGTTTTTTTCTAGGCGAAGGCGTTTTGAAGATTTCAAGGTCATTTCCATTTTTTCAAATGGCACGCTATATTTTTGTATTCGTAATAAAATAGCAGGTATTTAGACGATTACAATGACCCCTGATACATGGTAATTCGATAACAGGAAATAGGGTAAAACAGAGTGACTTACGTTACAACAAATGCTCGAAGTGATGACCATCCGCATCGATGCAACGTTGCAATCATTGAATTTTTAAAGACCAAACAACAAACGACGAAACAAAATAATGCTGTAACAAAACACACGCTGCATCTTATGAAGGACAACGAGGAACAACACTGTCAGTTTGTTTACGAACGTCGGCATAATAAGTTAACGGTAATAAGTTTCCGTAAAAACACATATTTTTTTACCTACCGTTGAATTTTCAAATATCCTTCCACGCACCGGCTTTCCAAGTGACGTTCACGTCGGATAAGGGGGCACAGCAGTACCTATATGCTGTAGAGAAAGAGCTTGCACGGGGAGACTCTTGGTATTTGGATGATCACGTGGTGTAACGATGGATAAGGAATGGAGTACCAGTGCGTTATCGTCTATACAGTGATCTCACCCTCGACCACGGTCGCACCTTCCTTTCGACTGCAGCTTGAAAGTACTATATCCCGCCCTCCACCTCCTGGATGCATTGCCTGGGTCAAGTCCTGGATTAAAAGGTTCATAAACACGTTTATGCTGTCACAGCTTCCACGTAGGATACATGCTTCAGCAATGGATTGGACCTGCCGTTTGGCTCGAATTGATCCCATGTGCAAATATCAAAGTTCGCTTGTGATTCGTTTTTTTATTGTCCTGCACGTATCTGGATTATTATGTTTAAAACGAGCGACTTACGTTACCTATATGTATACATATGTTTCTCTGTGCACTTTACTGAACTATATGTATTGGAGACGCCATTACATGGATGACTATTGTACTTTCTTTGTCGTTTTTTTCGTACCAGCTATCTTTCGCAAACGCACAATCTGGCTGTCGATTATTTCTTTACGATTTGTGACGCATGGCACTGTGCTACTGTTAACCGAGGTCATGTGAATATAACACAGGCTTTTTCTTTGCTCGCCAAACGGTTTGTCGGTAATGATGGATGAACGTCAAAAGTACATATTATTGGGATATTGTCAGGAAAGCATCGTTGCTTCATTTTCTGGTATTTTCGTGCCATTCTTCTTGAGCTACATTTTTTTTTTTTCTTGTACTTCAGTGATATTTTCACGCTTCTAATGCAAAAGGTCAAAATATCGTTTGATCCCTCGTGCATGATTTTACGTCGATTACCGCTAAGTATGGATAATTATCTGAAAAAGAAATCGGACGATTGTGGTATTAATAAAAAATCTTTACAGCGATGAAGAGTTCGCAAAAATATTATTTACCCATGCATTTGACGATTGTGTATTATTATATATTTTTTTTAATAGGATGGGACAAAAAGTATACTCATTATAACTCTCTGTGTAAGGTAGAGCGTGGGAAAAAATTGAGACATTAATGCTGGCTGTGGAATTATATCGATTCAGTCTAGCGAATTAGGCCGTTGTTATCTACAGGAAATCATCAATTTTCCAGAGATTCAATTGTTCTTAGAGCAAAATCGTATCCCGTAGGGTCAGCACGTATTTCAAATCATTGTCAGCTACATTTCAAAATAATAGTCCATTCTCACCGGTTGTGACAGTCGGCTGAGCTTATTGAAATTTTCGGTATAATTCATAGCTACAGAATGAAACATAATAGGATTGGCATACTTTGAAATTTAGTAGGCACCTCTTGGGCTTTTGACTTTAAGCCACGTAGAATTTCGTCCTGAATCTCGTCCGTGGTAGGGACTCGAAATCCTCCAAATGAAGGTTGAGACCTTTCCGGGCTACATAAGCTCCTCAGGGTCGACCGTAGAGAATGAAAACTCAATAGTAGGAATCACTCCAATACAGTGTCAGTAGAATTTAACATCGAAAGGATTCAATTTTTATCGAGATCATTCAGCGAAGAAAATTTGCAAAATACAAAATTAAATATTAAAATTTCTTATTTCCTTTTTCAGAGCTGTTGCTGCGTATCTCCGTGCCCTGAATCTTAGTCCGAACAATGCAGTCGTTCATGGAAACTTGGCCTGCGTCTACTATGAGCAAGGGTGTGTATATTTACATGAATAAGGGGCCACGCTAATTTTCATTTATACCAACTGCATCTTTATATATAATATATATTTATTGGAATGTCTTCTGTATACACAGGCTTATCGATCTCGCTATTGACACTTATCGTCGAGCTATTGAACTTCAGCCAAACTTCCCGGATGCATATTGCAACTTGGCCAATGCACTCAAGGAGAAGGGTCAGGTGGTTGAGGCTGAGGAATGTTACAATACTGCCCTGCGCCTGTGCCCCACCCATGCTGATTCCCTTAATAATCTGGTAAGTAATATTCAGCCTTTGAGCTGTACTCTTGTTTTTAACTCTTTGTTTTTGGAGATGATATAAAACGTTAATTATCTGTGCACTTGAAAAGTGGAAAGGACCTGTACGTAAACGGTCACTTGGAGTCCTTTCTAGGGTACAGTTAAAACCAGTGGCGCAATACCGTTCTTCGTGCCAGAGGCCACTTCTCGCATGAATCTCAACAGAGAACTTTTTCAATTCCTTGAGCTGACAATTACCAGTCATAGCATTTATGCTTCGTCGGTTACATCATTTGGAGTTTCAGCTCTTGTAGTTATCTCAGTCGGGAGAATAGATTAACTCCGTTATCACTGTTAGTTGTACCGGTGACATCTTTTATAGACATACTTCTCCATTTATAAGACTTACGTTGACCGGTGGTATTGAAATGTTACACAATGCAAAATGGGACAGTTCCAATATCATATGTTATATGGTATGAGAAAGTTGAAAATATTTATGTAAACTCTGTAATTTTAATGTGGAACATTTATTATTCATCTATCAAAGATCATTGATTGACATACTGTGTTAATATTTCAAATATCTGTTTTCCTTTTTAGGCCAACATAAAACGCGAACAAGGTTACATAGAGGAAGCCACACGCCTGTATCTCAAGGCTTTGGAAGTATTCCCCGAATTTGCAGCAGCCCACAGCAACCTCGCTTCCGTCCTACAGCAGCAAGGAAAATTAAATGAAGCCCTCATGCATTACAAAGAAGCTATCCGCATCCAGCCGACTTTTGCAGATGCGTACTCGAATATGGGTAACACCCTAAAGGAGATGCAAGATATTCAGGGTGCTCTTCAATGTTACACAAGAGCTATTCAGATCAATCCAGCATTTGCCGATGCCCATTCCAATCTAGCATCGATTCACAAGGACTCCGGAAACATCCCGGAAGCCATTCAGTCCTACAGAACAGCTCTCAAATTGAAGCCCGACTTCCCCGATGCATATTGCAATTTGGCCCATTGCCTGCAAATTGTCTGCGACTGGACCGATTACGAAGCTAGAATGAAGAAACTTGTTTCCATCGTGGCCGAGCAACTGGATAAAAACAGACTTCCCAGTGTGCATCCTCATCATTCCATGCTGTATCCATTGTCTCATGAATTCAGAAAGGCAATTGCTGCCCGACATGCCAACCTGTGCATTGAAAAAGTAAGTTGTTTGTTAAATTTAGCCACTTCACAAAAATGGTTAGCACGGTTTTTGGTAATAATTTAATGATATGGTTATCTTTCAGATTCATGTTTTACACAAACAGCCATACAAATACCCGCGAGAGGTTAATTCTCGCCTCAAAATCGGTTACGTATCCTCCGATTTTGGTAATCATCCTACCAGTCATCTTATGCAGTCAATTCCTGGTCTCCATGAGAAACAAAACGTTGAGGTTTTCTGCTACGCTCTAAGTGCCGATGACGGGACGACCTTCCGTGCTAAGATTGCCAGGGAAGCCGAACACTTCATCGATCTCTCTCAAATTCCGTGCAATGGAAAGGCGGCCGATCGCATAAATGGAGACGGAATTCATATTTTGGTGAACATGAATGGTTACACAAAAGGTGCCAGGAATGAAATCTTCGCCCTGAAACCAGCTCCCATCCAAGTGATGTGGCTAGGATATCCAGGAACATCTGGCGCCAGTTTCATGGACTATCTGATTACTGATGAAGTAACGTCACCCTTAGAACTGGCTACACAATACAGCGAGAAATTAGCGTACATGCCGCACACGTACTTCATCGGCGATCATAGGTAAGTTTTAACAAAATCTATTTTAAATGTCGAAGAACCTTACTGTACTTTATTGGCAAGATCCTGTCAACTGCAGTACAGGAAAACAATTATTCCTAGAGCATTTTTACTTTCTGTTTGTTAATTCCGTGCCCCCTCCCTAGTGAACACAGAAATGCATCAGAATTAAATGGAAATACTAACGTCCATGTCACTGGCTTTGTATTGTAAATTAACTATAACGTGTATCGCTTTTCTCGTAGACAAATGTTTCCGCATCTGAAGGAACGGCTGATCCTGGCTGATAAACTCAACCTCAAAGGCAAAGTCGCTGACAATGTGGCAGTCATTAATGCTACTGATCTGTCACCCATGATAGAGAACACTCTCGTCAAAGAAATCCGAGAGGTTGTGATGCCAGATTCGAAGAACAAACCAGTCGAAATCTCTCTGAAAGTAGCCGAACTACCCACGACAACTCCCATCGAAACTATGATCGCTTCAGGACAGTGTCAAATGTCCGTGAACGGCGTAGTCGTACAGAATGGTATGGCAACGACTCAGGTGAACAACAAGACAGCTACTGGCGAAGAAGTGCCTCAAAACATTGTTATCACAACAAGACAACAATATGGATTACCTGAAGATGCAGTGGTATATTGTAATTTCAATCAATTGTACAAGATCGATCCACTGACCCTACATATGTGGGCATTTGTAAGTATTAGAATATTCCGAGTCAAAATTTACAATCAGACTTCCACAAATTTGTTATATCGTTTGTCTTCCAGATCCTGAAACACGTGCCAAACTCTGTCCTGTGGTTACTGCGATTTCCAGCTGTAGGAGAACCAAACCTACAAGCAACGGCACAACAGCTAGGTCTGTCTCCTGGTAGAATTCTATTCAGCAATGTAGCTGCCAAAGAAGAACATGTCAGACGAGGCCAGTTGGCTGATGTTTGCCTTGACACACCCCTTTGTAATGGACACACCACGAGTATGGACGTTCTCTGGACTGGAACACCTGTCGTCACGTTACCAGGGGAAACTTTGGCTTCTCGGGTAGCAGCCAGCCAACTCAATACACTTGGGTGTCCTGAACTAGTAGCACGCACTCGACAAGAGTATCAAGACATTGCAGTTCGTTTGGGTACCGATCGTGAATAGTACGTAGTCCTATTAAGCTGCCATTGATCAAATAACATATATAAATTAATAATTATAACGAATGATTTTTCATAACACTTACTGTTGAATTAAATAATCATGTTCCTTCGTTGTTCTCTTACAGCCTGAAAGCCATCCGTGCCAAAGTATGGAAGGCACGCTCAGACAGTCCACTGTTCAACTGCAAGATGTACGCGATTGGGATGGAAATGCTGTATAAAAAAATGTGGGAGCGATTCGCACGGGGCGAAAAGCCTGATCATGTTGCTGCTATTGACAAAACTGAAAGCCAGAAAATGAATACCGCCTCTTAAGCGCCATGGTGAACTTATTTACGCTTTGAAGCTCTTGTATCGCATTCTCGTTAGCTGCTCAAACAGAAATCTCTTTTATTCTGAGAACGAAGAAAAAACACATACAGCTAATCGACGCTACAGCAGCCACTACTTATTTCCAACTTAAGCCTCTCGAATATCGGTCGATGACCACCATTTTGTATACTAATCTGACGAGCTTAGGTTAGCTTTTAGATGTTAATTTATATGATGATGAAATTGACTTGGAGCCTCTAGTTTTCGACGGGACAATGTAATCGAACATGTTGAGTCGATGGGAATTCGCACACTTAGGATTATATCAATCCCTTTTACATGTTACTCTGTATTTATTTAGCAACATCTTCGTTTCTCTTTTTTATACTAGATACCGTTTTTCTCGTTTCTCGGGTCGTGCAAGACCATTTAGAAACTATTGATCGTGTCCTACATCCTATCTTCCCCCTCCATACTCCTGCTGTAAAGAGTTACTGGAAACGACGAAGGTTATGTAGTTCGCTGATACGTCAAATTCACGCACTTAGTTTGATATTCATATCGAATATACCGTGATCGATTCTGAACTGATTCTTTGACGCAAGTACTATAAGCTAGGCTTTTAATTTTTGAACCATTCTCCTCAGCGAGCTTGGGATATTTCGTGCACTCTGCTTTCAGCATCGCGCACTTCTTCGCGAAATTTATCTGCACGCAAGCATACTATTCCCCCTACCCTTTTGTAAAGATGATAAAAAAAAAGTCGCGGGGTGACGTCAAGTGTCAAATGTGGCTGTACCAAAGTGCGTACATGTCTGTTATTAAAGAATACTATTGTGTATGATATCGACCGTCTATTAACAATACCAAACCTGTAAATAATCCAAATATAATTATTATTTTAATTGGATAGTCTGTAGTATATATTATCGAGATCGAAAGTGTGCAAGGAACGAATTCTGTAGAGCATAGATAATAACGATGTGAATCGAGAAAATAAAAGAAAAATAGTATATATAATTCTAAACATTTCATAAATATCATAATCGTTATTCATAATTCATATATTCTTCACTGTTTAGGTAGGTATTTCGAGTGAAACTGTAAGTCATGGTTTATTTATTCAAAACTGTTGAGTAATATTAAAAATCTGAAAAGTTATTTTATTTCATCATCATTCATATTACAAAAAAATGATTTCAACGCATTGTTGACCGGCAATTTTACTGAAAATTTATCTCATGCCACCGGCTATTATTTCGTAATTAGATGAGAAAGTAAAACAATATAAATAAACTTTAATAAATTTTATTTATTCAGCTTCTTAATATTTCTTTTTCGTATGACAAACAGTGTAACAATCACCTACGTGTAATGGTATACAGCAGTTTTGCAAATATATCTAGTTTCGCTGCGTTTTCCTTTTGAAGAGCATGCTCTACACGCTTTAGTCGGATTTGTTTTTCTGCCAGTGACTATTTTTTCTAAGACGTGGTCTCTTAGTTGTCCGGAAAGCCTGAAGGGTGCATCATTATAAGGAGCTGTTTTAGAAATTCGAAAAGTGATAGGTGCAATGCTGCATTCTTTGGAATCCACAGTTATCCATTCTCTAGCTACTTCCAGTAGACATTTTTTTATATCTTGTTTTATTTTCTGGCAGATAGGTACAGTACATTTTATATGCATTGAACAAGGTGCAGTTTATCAGAAAAAATGCTAATCTTTTGGACCACTTTAAAGTTTTTCGTAAAATACTGCTGTTCGCCAAATACTGATCTGCAGGATCTACCCCTTTCATGTGCTTAGTGTATTGTAATATGCACGTAGGTTTAATTGTATCATCTATATAATTATTTTTACAACAATCTTGACGGATTTCATAAGCGAAAGATACAGCTTGAGGTATGCTGACCAACAATTGCACTGTATGATCTCCAACAACGAACTGAGAAAACGGCGCTAATGCGAAAAAAAGTGCATCACGAGTTTACTCGTGACCGGTCAACAATGTGTCGTCTTATGATAAATGCTTGTAATTTACAGTCCTTTTTTTTAGCAACTTCTGCTTACTATCTTATTTGACTTAAAATTGCATGCTCAGTTTACTGCAATTACCGCTAAGTGGATCAACGTTATCTGCACCACGTGTGGGGAAGGTACATATTATTTGTTTCATGTGTACTCTACATTAAATCTACTAATTACAAAGATTATGTACGTACAAGTTATAAAATCCGCTGGGTCACACGGTATAAGGTAATTTTCTAAAATGAAATACTCTAATAATTTTAATTTCATTCATTTGATTAGAATAAAATACACAGATACACAAATACGCTATATCATCTAAAACTATAAAATCTGGACGTAATACAAAATAATTGAATTCACCAATGATTTCACCCACAATGCTTTCCGTACAGCTCCAACTCTTGCATAACGGTATCGATTAAGATATGTTGCGCGTCATGGTCCGCTAGAGGCGCTGTTATCAAGCCAAAGCAACGCGTCGTCGGAATACACGTCGGTAACGTTTTTCCATAGTAAGGAAACATCAACGAAAATATACTATATTTCGTGTACTCGATCGATGAGTCGACATTTCGTGCAATTTTCAAAAGTGACTTTTCTCGTAATAGACACAGTATGCACTCACGATGCAACTTCCAGGAGGGCGCTGCAGTGTGCATACCATTTTCCCGCTGCATCATTTCAATCCATACATCCTATACAGGGTTATTCACGGCAAACGCATCAGCTGAAATTGGACGCGATTAAACGATTCGATTAATCGCAGCAGTGTAGCCTCGTTGAACAAATGAAAGAATATGAAATTCATAATAAAAGCAATGTTACGACGTTAGTTTTCATTTATTTAATGATGCCACCCTGCTCTAATTCATAAAGTCATCCATTCACGGCCAATTTCAGGTGGTACGTTTGCCGTGAATAACTCTGTATATCTGGCATGCCCGCCCACTTCAGAAAATAGGCCAGCAGTCTTGATAGCAGCTAGCAGCACATTAATTAATTTCAATTGGATATAGCTGCGTCGTTATTCTCATAACTGAAAGCGGCACGTCACTCTAACAAAGATGCATTCGACGTGTGCATCCACTTGAAATTCCGAACCTAACCCTTAACTACACAGTGTTTCGTGGCATCGTCAGTACCTTATCACATAAAAAAAACTACCAATTTCGATCACTATCAATTTCGATCCACTCTCTACAGGTATTCCCTTTTATCCTAATTTCACGTCCATTTAATCATTCTTAGTCCCAAGCTCCACAGCAACTTCCTAATGCCTATTTATTCGCAATATCGACATACGAACCAGATTTAATTGTAACGCGATGGAAATAACGCACGGCTTCGATTAAGACTCCATACCCTACTGCTGTAAATAAATACGAATTACGGTTAATCGAGTACACGCTGTGGAAGTGAATACAGATTCTGCATACTGTCGCAGCATCCTCTGTCGCTGTGAACCCCAGCCAAGTTACTATTTATTTTTCAAACGAATCACTCCGACTATCATTCTATAGTCCAGGTCAACCAGCCACGTCCATTTAAATTGATGATCACCGTTCAATCGCAATTAAATCATATTCGGTAGCATTGTAAAGAACCATAGAGGGTTAACGCCTTTAAAGAAAATTCAAACAACATTCGCACTTACGCATATACGCGTACGAATAAACGTAACCAGCGGTCATCGTTCAACTCATTGATCGATTAATAGTCAACGTGAATACACACATTCTCTCTCTCTCTCTCTCTCTCTTTCTCTCTCTCTCTCTCTCTCTCTTTCTCTCTCTTTCTCTCTGTATCTGTGCCTTCAATCTCTTCTGGATATTGTGTATGGGCGTTTCCACGCATGTGCGTACCTCGGGTGACGTAACAGGGCCGCAGCTATTTATTGGATATTGTTATCTCCCGATAAAAACATTTAATGATTAATATATTATTATCCTAGTTCGATCCAATCATCACATGTTCAACCTCGCGGCATAAAATGTTTCAGTTATTTATAACAGCCGAATTTTTTTTTAAATCTCTGTTTTAGTATACTCCGAGAGAGAGTGGATCGTGAATTTGAAATTGAAGAGAAATAGAATACATATGTATAAACTATTTTACATTCCAGAATTTAATTCTCTCTCGCAATTCCTTAACCGATTTCCTAATATTTCCGTCAGGGCTCTTTAAACATTCGTTTAAGCTATTGTTAATGCTAGAAGCTCTGTATCCGACGTTTAACGACTCTTTCTAGGGAAATAATTGCATCGTCTAAATCGTTCTAAACGTTCTTCCTAGGTTTCGAATTATATACATATACACGTATACACATATAATTAGTACCACACGATTCCACGTTCTCCGTTTTCTCCACCCATTCGACCCGAACTCCTTGGCTTCTTCTAGATCCACGACATAATTTTCTATTTCAATCCTAAACACTCTCAGGTGGTACAGAATTATTTAAAGAAAACGTTAGACAAATTTGATAGCTCATTGGTAGAAAGAAGCACGTATGCGGTGGGCACGAAGAACCGCCTTGGCCTCTCCACGTGTATGACCTCAGTTCGTTCTTTGGTAGCTTCTTCTATGCGTGATATACTAGGGGCTCCGTTAGCCATTCACCAGCCACGGAACGATCCGATATTTTTACAGTGTCTGTTCTCCGTCGCGCCGCAAAAATTCTCAAAGACAATAAATCGTTCCTTAATTATAATGCCATTATAAAAAATCCCATGCAACAGGTTTTATTTCCAAATCCAATAAGTATCGAAATAGAAGACAACGAATAATACTACATTGAAAAATCTTTTCACCCAGTAAAAAATGTTTGATCTTCCAGTTACGTTATACCCAAGTAATTTGCTTGTAACGTCCCACAAGCTTTTCCCTGAATGACTGTTTCTTCTTTTTCGAAAAGGAACTCTCTTTCCAAGGCTTTGGAATTCGTGCCCGGAGTTCTGTGATGTGAAAGAAGGCAAATACGTTCTATAGAAGTACTTCGATATCCGTTCAACACCCACGTCTACCTCCTCCACGTGTACTGTGTACATTCTCCGGTATTAAAAATAGACGGCAACGAAGAATCATAAAGCGATTCGTTTACAGGGTTTACGGAGTTACGCCTAGGGAATGTAACGCTGTTTATATATACGAATTCGAGAATTATTAGGTTACTTCAAAAGACTCGATGCACCGGATAGACAGTTACTGTCTCGTGGGGGCCTGCTGTTCTTCTTCGTTGTATACGGTGGTTATCTCTTGTGGCAATGACACAATTCAGGGTAACCAGTCGGTAATGTAGATTAACGCATTACAAAATATCTTTGACAATAGGTCATTCCTTCATTTAACAGATCTATGTTAGCGATCATCTTTGAGTATATGTTGAGTCTCAGGCAAATGTATTTCAGGGAGACCATATTGATTTTTTATATATTTTCCTTACTTACAAGACTGTTCCTAAGCTTGCTCGGAGGTGATTCGGAGCTCTTACAAAAATGTATACCTTTAATTTCATTTCTTAGCGCGAGAGATGACATTGAGGTTGAAGTAGGTTCATAGCAATTTTATGGGCAGCCACCAGGCGCAACGTAGCCGGAAGTTATGGTCCATAGTGAAGACTGCGATAAAATTATATGGTTTTCGTATGGACTTTTATTCTTGTTAAGTACACTTTTTTAAAGGTAACAGTTTACAAATTATGTATAAATTACAATTGAGTGCATCCCTGACTTTCTTTTTTGTTAAAGCTATTTGTATTATCTTAATGTCCACATTATAGTTATATGATCGCTGACTGTTGTATAGGCTGAATCGTTGGTACTGGAAAGTCAAGGATTGATGTGAAAAAATTACAGGGCCAAAACGAATGTTGCGATAAAGGATGATTCGTATAATCCGGGTACGGCAACGTTTGCGCATTTGTATTTTAATGTGGATTTTTTGTCGTTTAAATCAGCCGCTAGAATTTACGATCGACAAACCTCTAATGGTGTTGATACTGTGACTACGTAGAGGGTCGTAAAAATCGAATTATCAAAAACCGCATTAATAGTAGACTGTGTGACAAGGGATGAAACATGACGATTTCAGACTAGGGTGAAGTTGGCTGCCTGAGCTGTAGGCAAGGACTGACACCATCCGAAGTCTGAATTCGTGTTTTATTTCTTGTTGCAGACTATACTTTTCATGGTTCCCTGCATTCAGACCAAGTTTCAGTATCAGCAGCCGGTCAGAAAGAAATTAATTTAAAGTCAATGCTGCGGAAAACTATGCGTATGCGTAAATTGTGGTGATTGCACGAACTGTTACGATGAAAATAAAATAAGTAATCTGAAGTAACTAACAAAGAAATGACAAAAGTAATAAGGCTGAAAGAAACATTGAATTTAACTTACAGAAATAAGCATGTTTCTGCTATAGGAAAGAAACACAATAGGACATATGTAAATAGGATATGGACCCAGAAGAGGCCTACTAGAAAATGATGGAGAATCTGAAAACGTAGATTTGTTCAATTTTCGTGTCTTTACTCCTCCCTTAGTCAATGGCAGAACAAGGTTATTAATTATTTCAATAACCTAACTTATTGCTATGCGAACTGTCAGTGTGCGCTTATGTGAATCGGTCGTATCGGCCAATTGCGTCCAACTTCAACTGGTGCATTTGTTATGACTAACTCTGTGTATGCTTATCTGTATAGTTGTTGAATAATTCTCTGCAAAATTTTCATAATATACGTAATATCAAGTATCGCGTTATTATTGTGATTTAGAGGGACAGTCACCACTTGATTAAAATATATATTTAACTAATTTTGTTATAGAAGTTTCGACATGAGGTCAATAATTATAATGACTACTAGCCATTTTCATGCAAATAATTTACTTTACTTTCATTAAACGTACATCGTGACTAAATAATATTTTCAAAAAATTTCAATCTAGAGTAAATAAAATTAAAATGATCAATGAACGAGAACTCGTTGAACAAAATATTGCTAATAGAGTGTCAAGCATTATAATGAAAACTGAAACAGTCAGGGAAAGTAGCTATCTGTCCAATTTCCGGAGGGAAGAATGTAACAAGCTTTTCGTTTAAACCTATCAAAATGTTTCTCTACCCCACAACGAATTAGCAATTTGAAAATTCACAAGCGTAAGAAAGTTTCTTTGAAAAGAGATGCACAGCAAAGTGTCTATCCCCCAGAATCCTTGTCCCAATGGTATTCGTGCATCGCATCCCCGTTAAACCGATCAGTCTTTCTAGTTCTCCCTTTTTCTTAGCCAGCGTCTTTACCATTCTCCCATCTTCATTCTTCGGTCGCTTCCGCTGCTTCTGAACGATCATAAATCTTCCCGGAGGCTGGCCCGACTCGTAGGCTCCAAGCGTATCCGGCATTGGATGTTTTAGGCTACACCCTCTCCTCATTTCTTTAAACCTTAAAATAAGACGAATCCTTTACCTGGAAAGCGGGGAAACTATTGGATCCCTGGGATCAAGGACGACCCAATCCTGCCTTTCTGTCAGGCCCCGACCGATCCCAAAACATAAAACCATAGTAAACGCCTATTGAAAGAAAGAGCCCAACAAACCGGTAACACATAGGAATTATTAATAGCGATCCTCGAAAAATTTCCAGGCAGCTCAAGGGAGGGCTAGATCTCGTCAGACGTCTCCCCGGAAGTCTGGGAATTTGCAAGACGATCATCCCAATCCGTTACCAATTACCTCACCTGCGAAGACCCCTGCCATACCCACATTAGCATCCTCAGCGATCCACAGCAACATTCCAGCTAGTCTTCCTCTTCCATTCCAGGACATCGTGATCGCCAAGGACAAAAGGTTAAGACTATTACACGACCTCAGAACAGATATAACAAGGAGATACCAAATAAATCGAAGAACCCCAAGTGTTCCGTCTCCTTCTAAACTTCCTGGAGTAAGACTCGTTCCGTACATTCGTCAAGTGTACCAGTATACAGTCTATACCAACAGCCACCACCGGCAGTACCAGCATCATCATCAGCAAGCAATCGCGCACCCCTAGCTAGGGTAGCATAGCGCGGAGTAAGTATCGATTGTACGACGAGGCCACGGCAGGGGTAAACTGGGTCGAAACGACTCTTTACGTACGAAGGGGGTAGGTACCTACCTAGCTACGTAGCCGACCAGCCAGCGTGCACCTTCTGGCGTTTGCGTTTGCGTTTGCGTTCGAGTGGAGGATCCTTGACATAAATAATCAGCAGTAGAGCAGCGCGCCTCTCGTAACCATGACGACGACATCGATCCAACGCCACCTCCGAAGCAGGCCACTCTCCTTCTGCCCCTGTTCCAGTTACGCTCGAGTGTTGGACCATGCTTTTTCACTGGGTTCACCACCAAAACCTCGCGCACTAATCGTGCCACCCGTCATTACCATCACACAATTTTATCTAATGCCTCGAACGACGTCGAGCGCCTGGATATACACATTCTGGGATAATACGATGAGGATGACTTCAACGCAGAGTAGACTAACGATTTAGGAGTCACGGAAGCACCTGTTAACTGTAGCTTTGCATACTACTTCAAGAAAAAAAAGCCATGCGGGTATTTATACAGGGTTAGAGCGAATGTAGGTTGGGCCTATGGTTAATGAATTAAACAGTCATGACTATCGATACGTGGTGCTTATGTAAGACTAGAATACATTTTTTCCTTTCTCAACGTAGAAGAATAAAATTTGGACTGTACTCAACCTTAGAAATTTATTCTCGAAAAACCTTTGGGTTTAAATGACTAGGATTCATTTTTTGGTATTCCTCCTTAAGTACCGACACCCCTATCTACTTCATAGCACAACTATCGCGCTACAGGTTGAGAAATTAATATAAACGAAATATCACCCACCTATTGCAGGGTCTTCTACCTAGAGTTCTAAATGGTATAGAGTGAATCTCGAGGGAGTGGTTGTAATTAAAAGTGCCCTGAAAATCGGAAGCAGAACGATGGCAGTAATAATGGCGCCTCGTTAACGATAGCTGCAATAACGCCAGCGAGGCTCTCAGTTAAATTCTTTAATTCTTCCCCAATGCTTCGAATACTGGGGGACATTTTGAATTTAATATTGTCTATGTACATTCGCATTCTGACACACTTGTATTCGTGTTAGGTAGATGGGAAATCTACTACTAGCTACCACCTATGTAACTAGCTTTTCCTACCCTTTCGTGGGGCGATGAGGGAGGGATTTGGAGGGGGTGGTGGTACGTGTGCTAGCATCCCTTGAAACCCATGTGGCCCCGGCCTCGCCCTAGTTCTCCTCTACCTCTGACCCCTCTTCATCTCGTGGTCCACCACCACCACTTTCCTCACCTACCATTTGAACCCTCCGAAACTCCTTTCAACCACCTACTGGACCCTCCGCAACCTCATGACTCTCCCCCTCTTCTTCGTTCTCTCAAATGATCCTCTTTCTCTAAACCTCTACCCTCTGCGTATCTGCTCCGCTGACTACCCTGGCTGAATTTCTGTTTCGCCACGCGTCCTATACAGAAATATACGAGGAAGAGCAACATTGTAATTTGTCATGAAAAAATGTTCCCTCGCTGGGCGTACGGGAAGCCCTCCTTGCAATTTATCGACAAATTTCACTCCGCTGCTCGATACGACGGCTATTTACTCCGGTGTGTAAATTTACGGGATACTCTTGAACAATTTGGATTTGCTGGTGATCGTTATGGGCAGCTTTATTTAGCGTTTAATAATTGCGCCAGGACCTAGGTTTCATTTGCAGGAACAATTTGGGGGAGCCGGTAGCACAGACAGTAAAACCAGAAGCAATCACTTGGAGTTGTCAAAATTGTCCGTATATCATCGAACGGACGTAAAAGGTATAACGATGGACCACAAAAATACTATAGGACCGTTAGAAATTACACGTTTTAATTTTATTCAATATACTTGATGTCGGCTAACAAAGGGACTGCCGATTTTCCTCGAACAATTTTTAAAATAAGTTTCTGACGCGAAACCTGGTTCAAACGCCTTAGGAAGATCGTTAAAACTCAAAAGTGACATCATCGCCCAAACCGGATATCGAATACCGTAAGAACCAGACAGTCTCTTGCATGGACGTTACCGACTCGACATAGGGTCTCAGAAAGAGAACTCAAAGCCAAAAGTATTCGTATAAGGCTTTTTCGCAACCATACGTTTCGAGCCGAGCCAAAGACAATACCCCACGAGAGAATAGCAATCGTAACCTTCTTTGGTAGCAGATGCCCTTTACACCCACATTCAGCATTATTGCACCTGCCAACTGACTCTATGTGGATTCCGTGGGTGGAAGCGACTAAGCCTCCATAACCGCATAACCCAAGAGCGTACACATAAGCACGTCGATCGATAACGAAAAAGATAAATTCAACTCCTCTGCACTTTATAGGAAGCGTGGAGCCATTACGCCGTCATTACTGCATCGAGTAAGTTTTATATTAAACTAGTAAAAGTCGATAACCATATCGTTAGGAAGTAGCGAGCATCAACTTTGATTGGTATCGAAAACTCTTCGTTACTCGTAAACGCTCTATATCAATTATTTCCTCATTTTATACCGGAACACGACGCCAATCTCCGGCATCATTTCATTCACCATTATTGCAATTGGTAAGCGTGATACGATCTTGCGAAAGGACATGGATCAAAACTTCACGTAACTAGGTTATGTACGGTGAATCAGATGTCGTATGACTGGCTTGATAAACGTGTTAAAAGATCTACGTTAAACTACCAAATTCTAACCTCAAATATTTCAATCGTTCAAACCGAGACCTGTTCTTATCACTGCAGCATTGACGCTCGCGCCATTAGGATTTCAACAGAGGTTTATCTCGCATTTAGAATCTTCACGTGAGCACTGCACGGTTATTAGTTAGCGGATAGTTAGAGACGGTCGGAGGCCAAGCTAATCTAGAGGAACCTTGGGATCTCACCCACACGCGTTTATCGTCAGCGAGACGCTAATATCATACCGGTGACTATATATATGTACATACGTATACGTGGTTCCACACAATTACGTTAAAGTACTGTGAGTTTCAGTCGAAGCTGCAGAAACGTCTGTGAAACGATTCGTTTTATTTTGCAGACACTATGAAGTGTGTAAAAAGATTGATTTAAATTAATTTTTTAAATATATCTATGAGTGCTGTCATTAATATTATTTAGAAAAAAGATACTTTCAATTTTAGCGAACAAAGGCATTCAACGTCTGAAGAAAGTGTGTTCTTCTGTGAGTCCTTTTTTTATTTTTATTTGCCAATTTGAAGTGCCATGTTGTAAGAGGAACTTGTAATTCTCTTAAACGTATCTTTGACAGCTTTTAATTTTCTTCTGGTTGGATCAACTGGTACGCGAAGGTAAAGACGACACAAGCTCTGGCATAAGCGCGTGCCATGCAACCGACACGACTTACGCAAACGTAAACGCGACCTTCGACGTCGTCTGTGCCCAACATGTGTGTACTAACCATCTACTAACCAGGTTGGCCAACTTCATTCGCATTCGTCTCGACTGCCATCGTTCTAACCTTCTTGCGCCGGATGATTGCACAAATGCACGACAGAAGTGAGTTGGACAAGGGTTCTTCTTTTTTCGTTATACACATCTTTCCTTATTTTCTTGCCTCCTTAGTTCTCGTAACAAAGTCACGAGAAACTGCGCTTCACTATGAAGAGGTAAAACGAATTGAGTATACGGGCTAAGAAGGCTGAAGAAGAGGTCTGAATATTTACGGATGAACAAGTCTGACTTACCTGCGACTAGAATTCTCAATTACAGCTCACACCTGACATTTCAACACTCCTGAGCAATGTATAAGGTCCCAGTAATTTAACCTGAATAATCGTTATAGCTCAATGCCAAGAAAAAGAGATAAAGTCTGTACCCAGGTGAATCGAAGGTATAAAATGAAAACGACGATAACGATTTCATCAATGAAATTGATTAGATTTGTAGAGACTCGTCCTTTATTAATTTCATAACCTTTAGGTCCCTCAGCGTTGAAAAGATTTTCAAGCCATGCTCGGGGGATCATGAAAATCCAGGATACCGCTGTAGATTGAGTCTTCTACTTATTCCGTTAGATGGCTTTACTCCCTGCAATAAGACAAGTGAGCATCGAGTCAAAGCAGTGTATAAGATGAAAAACAACGCGGGTCTACGAAACAAGACGCCACCGTAGCGACAGTAGCGCCACTAGCGGCTCGACCATGAATTAAAGAGATCAATCGAACCCTCCAGACTAGAAGGTGAGAATTAGAACTGTTTATCGACTAATTTTCCGTTTCGATATATGCTCGACGTCATTTCACGAAGCAATGATTAACAAGCACAATGACGTGCCTCGTAGGCTGTCCTAAGAACAAAGAGTGAAAAACAAAAGGGCAGGTATACAAGTAAATGGCACCGGGGCCACACAGTGTACCGGGGTACCGTCCTCAAACTTTTGTTACGCTGACGCTTCAAAAGCTCGCGCAAACTCTTCTCGAGTAATGGAGGAAATATTTGTATTTTTCTTTCATTTATCTCTCTACGCCTTTTCCAATCTCTCTTTACTCGCATGTTTCTCTATGCAAGACCATCTAGCTCATACACGTAGCATCCAGCTCCCTCCTCCCAGTCCCACATATGGCATAAAACGAAGCCCTCGCCTTCCTATCCCGAGGCTTATTGCGTTCCATAACGGGAGAATATCTATCCGCTGCGAAAAGGCCGTAATTGCCGTATGCGGTGCGATATTGCAAATAGGAGAAGCAGGATAATTAATACCTACGGGAGTCCCTCCTACGTCTTTTTCTTGACCCTCGTCCTTTTCAGGTATATGCACATATACGTATTCTCTTTGCATCATCTGTAATTACTATTACAATCCACGCGCTACTACGGCTCTCGCCATTGATTTCTTCTTTCCATCTTAATATTCCATCCTCTTCCTCGACCCTTTTTTCTTCTTGGAACTCCCCGAAGAACTTTGGACAGCCCATTTGCCAATGGCGGTCATATCTTTCTTCTATTCCATTTTTTTTTCTCGTTAACCCAACTCTTATGGATACGTGTCGGTTCCGACCTTTATATGTATACATATGCCTGTACCATGGTAATCATATGTCATACTCCCGTTTCCAAAGTTACTACTAATTTCCTGGCAGCGGCTGGGTGCTGCTCTATTTTAAGAAAGCCAGCAAAACTCCAATTCATTAATGTGCCGGGAACGTCTTCAAATTTCTGTGGAGAAAATAAATAGCAACATAACGCGTCCTTCCTGCTAACTCATGTAATACATTGGGACATGCGTATAAAAGCCCACGCAGACGTATAGTTACATATAGACATTGTGAGTACACGTGATCAAGCTCTTCCTTTCGATTTTCAAATTGATAGGATCTGTTTCATCCTATACTAACCTCAGTATTATCATTGAATTATTTTGCCAATTCAAAAGTCTCATACCGGTCACTTATAGCGAGTGTAACGAGGCATCTCCAGTTACGTAAAACTAATCGGTACTGACAGCAGTCATCGTAAAGACAAAAATACCAGTAATACAACTTCAAGTTTTCATCATTGCACTGTTGCTAATGGCATTTCAAATCTTTCTTGCGTATAATCAAGTGAAATCCAACCGAGAGACCCAGTTCTTCGCTCGAGTAGTTAACTTTATCCAACTTCGTCAAATGGACGGTATAGGTATACCATACTAGAAGTTATCAACTTTTCCGTTTCCGCGCTGCGATCGCGCTGTCGTTTATAGAGAATGTCAATAAAATTATATTGACATTCTTTTTATCTTTACATAGTACACCTGGATCTTGCAATATAACCTTATTCCGGAGTTATACAGCCATGCAAGAGTCATACAGCAATGGACGTACGAATTAACGAATTCTCAAGGTATCGCGTAGGAATTCAGGATTGTGCCGGGAATTCGGCTTCGTTGTATACCTTCCCAGAAAGAGTCCTTGAAATCCATTCCACAGGCATCCCTCTTCGTTCTTGCTGCTACGTGCGTCTAAATGACATCATATGTGTATATATAAGCAGCTCGTGAAAAGTTTAACAAACTGACGTGGGGATACGTAGATAGGAATAAGTGTCAGGGTTGAAATATATGCGCAACGAAGAAGTTTAACAGTTTACGAGTAGTACGCGCGGAACACGCTACTGAAATGGTTTGTAAATCCCGAGACATTTACAGAGTATCTATACCTGCTTACCCACCGTCGGTAACAACGTTCCAGTGTCATTCCTGTCGGCTGTTGGCTCCTCATAGTTAGCCCCTCATGTATAACGGATTTGAATTATTTTTTTGCAATCGTTTGTAGGCGTTTGATATTGCATCTACGACGTTTGACAGTTCAATATTTATTTATAATATTAAAATTAATTTTCTAGGAAATTTTTCTTTAGGTTAGCCCCTCTTTCAAATATTTTATAACCAAATCGCTTTTTGCTCATATGCAATCACTTGTAGGTGCTTCATATCTCATCGATGATATGAAATAATTGATTCTTTAATCGTAAATAATGAAAGAAATTGTATCTAGGGAATTCCATAAACAGCACTTAGCGCGCATGAGTGGGGACTTCAATATATTAGATAAATCGTACACATTTTACACGCACGGACGTGTATCTTAATTATATTACTAAACATTGTAAACCGAGGTATCAAATATTTATTAGTGCTCTTTTCTTAGTTCTGAAACATTTACAATTGTACAGTTTAGTGTTCACTAAATTGTATAATTAACTGGATGATCATAAAGAAAGGTGGAGCATTACTCTTAGGGTTATATAAAAAATGCAAACGAATAATTATATGGCATATATCATTATAGTGAAAATTATATTAATGAATTCCTTATCATGTGCTCCTTAAGAAAAAAGGAGTGTTCAGAAAGTGCACACACAAAACGGCGTACAATAAATTGTTCTCCTTAAATTGCCAACATTGAAAGAATTATGAGTTGTCCAACGTAAAAGGTCATTCGATTGTTTGCCAGTGTTGCGAAGAACCACTGTATTCAATAGTCTTTACCTTGGATTTTAGCATTTCATTAAAGAATTTATACCAATCCTTAAAGATGCTTCATTGGAATTCTGTACCAATATAAGTCAGTTATTATTTAGATTTTAAAAATTTGTAATCTTTTTTTCTATAGTAGTACTCTTCCTTCTGCTTTTTAGGTGACTGTATACATTACCTCTGGACACAGATATCTCTTCTGGCAAAGAAAAAAGCAAAATTGAAGGTGCTTAGGGAGAAGTCTAATATAATGTAACATAAGAGTTTGCAGAAGATGTTTATCTTTGTTGTACAATCATATTATTAATAAATACTATAAATACATACCTATCCGAGTATACTTCGAAGTACTAGAATAAACGAAATATGTATTTACAATAGTGATGGAGATAACAGCATTTATGTAGAGACAAAGGCAACGTTCGATTCACGTTAAGCATTCAAAAAATAGTAACCATTTTTCGATAAAAATTGATTGTACATATTTATCTGTTGTTTGAGCATCCATTTCTGTAAGAAAATACAAATTATGCATGACACTGTACGCTATGTGTATCAAGTTCAATAAATAAAATTATCAATAAATAAATTAAAAATTACCTTTTGAATAAGAAAACCGAGAACAGCTTGCACAGTCTTTTCTTCTCTGTAGATAATAACTGCTTCAAACTCTACCTCAATATCACCAGCATTCAGAAGAGATTCAAAATTTGTGCTGACACAATTATCACCATCGTCATCTAAAAGCTCATCATGCCTGTCCCGATTTGAGAACAATTTCTGGCAAATTTCAACTTCAGATATCTGTAATTTTTCATCACTCTATCAATGTTGGCAATTTAAAAGGAAAGCAATTGTACGCCGTTTTGTGTATGCACTTTTTGAACACGTTTTTTTTTGTTTCCTAAGGAGCACTTGATAACGAAATCATTAATCTAATATAATCTTCACTATAATGATATGCCATATAATTAAGATACAGATAAGTACGTGTACAATGTGATTTATCTGACATATTGAAGTCCCCACGCATGCGCGCTAGCTGCTGTTTATGGAATTCACTAGATAAAATTTCTTTCATTGTTTACGTTAAAAGAATCAATTATTTCATATCGTCAAGGACATACGAAGCACCTACAAACGATTGCATATGAGCAAAAAGCGATTAGGTAATAAAATATTTAAATGAGGGGCTAACCTAAAGAAGAATTCCCTAGAAAATTAATTTTAATATAATAAATAAATGATGGACTATCAAACGTCATGGATGCAGTATCAACACCTACAAAAGACATACAAATGATTGCAAAAAAAATCAATCAAATCCGTTCTAGATGAGGGGCCAGCTGCGTGGAGCCTGGGCCGTCGCCTAGATGTGCCCGGAAGTTAATATGAAACGTTATAGAAATTTTTAACTTCTTCTTTATGTCCTATAAAGAAAATACAATTCACTTTGAACTTCGAACGCACGTATAATAATCGTTTAGGAATTGAAATTACGTGAATCCCAGTAGATTATATAAAGGATGCAACCGGCGTACACGTTTGTCCTCGCCGCGATTTATCTAGTAACGTTATTACGTGTACGTGTACCTGTGCGCATGCGCAAATCTTATGAGCCGTCCTACGCGCAATTACGCGATTCTAATTATTATCGACGTCCTTAGGTGCCGGGTGATGTCACTCTCATCCGGGATCGTGGCACGTAGGTCTTCGCGAATAATGGCAGGCTACACACTGCACACTTACTTTCAGAATGGCATTCAGGAGTTTATCGCAATACACACGATACACGATCATGAAAAATGATTGAAAGATAGACGCTGTTGTGACGTTGAGAATGCTTGGAAACAGCAAAAAAGGAAATAAAGGAACGTGTCTTGACATAAATTCTATGATTTGATGTTCAGACGGCGAATCTTTTGGATACAATAATACTGCAGATACTCCCTAAAGTCAAATATCTACCCTACATAAACCTCGAGTCTTCGCCGAGTGTCCAAACTGGATAATCGAAAGGCAGTAGTAGGTACAGTACTGTACAGATACGACAGTATGGTTTAACCTACAATATGTATACATATATATATACAAACGCAAGAGCGCGTATACATACCTTATAGCACAGAATCAGTATCGGACTGTATCCATAATCTAGTCTACGCTCTATACTCTATACGTATAGTCTATGGTCTATCTAGCACAGCGACCCTATACGAATCTAAATATGTATATCTATAATTCGGCGCTCGAGCACGAAGCGTATAAGATTCAAGGAGGCAGAGCAGAAAGGGTAGTGCGGCATTTTGAGGGAGAAACCGATCGATCCAGGCCTCTCGCCCCCAGGAGTATGCGAATAAAACATGGAAGAGGCAAAAAGAGACGTCGAACCGAATGCTAGCAGGTTCTGCCAATTTCGTGGTACAAAGATTCACACGATGTTCGTGGGACTGCTACGTTCCTTGATCATGGCTACTGGCTGACCCTGATGAAGCTGACGACGCTGATGAGAAAAGCTTATAAAAAGAGAAAAGCTAATAAATGCAAAAGCAAATCCCGACTATTTGGAAAAAACTTGATAAACACGAATGTGTTGGAGTGGCCCACGAGCAGATTCTGCGCTCTGGCTCTCCGGGCTTGTTGGACACAATGGCAGCTCAAGGCTGAAACCCCTTTCCGTTACGTAACGCACAACGCGCACGAGGGGAAGCACGCACGTATATTCACGCACACATATTTATACATATATATGTCCAACAGCGGATATTTATGCGCCCGTATAAAACGCCGATTGAGTATCATTACGCGAGTTTTCGTGGCTGATAAAAAGGTGGAGAAGAATATGAGAAATCAGTACGAAAGATGAAAACTTACTGTGAATTAAAGTCAGCTCGCAACGTTAGGTCTTACGACCTAAAACTAATTTGGATATTTTGAAAAATATATGTACCAGTATACAATAATATATATACAGGGTGTTCATTATGAAACGCACTGTAGTAACACCGTTGCATTCCTTGTCAAGTTCTAAGGAATACGTGTATTTTGATTTTTTATTTCATGTATCAAAGTTTCGAGATAATCAAGGTTGAAGTTGCAGTAATGCCACCAATTTAGAACGCGTTTAAACGGAGCATAGATGACGTCGCGAGTCAGCCCACAAGGCCTGCTTACACTAGGCCGATAACACTAAGAGTATCGTCCCTTGTATCTTACTCAATTACATGCAGATAAACAGGGACACTACGACGATAATCTTAGTGTTATTGGCCTAGGGCAAGCAGGCCTTGCGGGCTGGCTCGCGACGTCATCTACGCTCCGTTTAAACGCGTTTTGATTGGTCGCATTACTGCAACTTCAACCTTGATTATCTCGAAACTTTGATACATGAAATAAAAAATCAAAATACACGTATTCCTTAGAACTTGACAAGGAATGCAACGGTGTTACTACAGTGCGTTTCATAATGAACACCCTGTATATATATTATTGTATACTGGTACATATATTTTTCAAAATATCCAAATTAGTTTTAGGTCGTAAGACCTAACGTTGCGAGCTGACTTTAATTCACAGTATATATATCGAAGTATACGGAAATATATCCCAATAAAATCCTATATCTTGCTCGAATTTCGATATTCGCAAGCTCGTCAAATGAACGCGTCCGTTACGCACGCGTTTACCTTATCGCCGCTCGAAATGAAACCACTGTACACTACGCGTGGTAATCACGTGCGAAAGCGGAAGCCGAAACTACGGTTTCCGGGTGGAAACGTCCAGACTGTACGGTCGTACGGCTGAAGTGTGCGTATGTACAGGATGGCTGATATACGTATACATATAGTTTCTCTGTGTCCATTTGCATGGCTACAATTCGTAATGCTAACGAGGACCAGAATCGGTTATCGTTCTGCCATACGGGAAAGATACCAATTTGGCACGCGGCTATGGAAATACTGCGCGTGGTGCGTTTAATAAAAATAACACAGTACGAATTCTATTGTGCTTTAGCTGGTAGCATATTCCTATGAAAAAGTCTTGAGCGCGACTTAATGTTCAACAAAGCGAGGGACCCCCTCGACCCGGTTCATAGTATCGTTGTTGGAATGTAGGCCAGCAGTAGGCACACACGGGACATGTATTATGTACATGGCCGACTTTGTAAGGGCATTGTTTGTATCAATATGAGTTTTATATATATGCATAGTAGTATAGCATACAAATAGTAAAGGTCGTATTATCACGTGCGAATTCATTTGAAAATTGTGAATTTTTGCCTGTAATCAGTTAAATGTATCTAGCGATGCTCTGACAATAATTCGAATATTTATTTCCGGTCGGTCTCATAATTTATGACATGCACATCCCGTGGATATTTGAAAGGAATGACGTTTGAATAAACTTCGGGATGATCTTGATAGAAAAAAGAATTGTCCCAATACTTCATCGACATGGTGCCTTCTGGGTAACTTTTTAACTGACAGTTGGCTACCGTGTATACGTTACAACGTACACTCTGTCTATATATAGAGAGAGGATTTTCAATAGCGAGTCTATCGCACGCGAAGCACTCAACGTCGGGTAGATATCTGAGTCTTATCTTTTGCAGAGTCTCTTACGGGGCCCCTGGATTACGCAACGAATTCTTTAGCGCCTTCAAATCATTCCGTAGTAGTTACAAGACGATAAATTTAATTTTATGAGTTCTCCAATTAGAAAAGGCGCAAGAAATAATTGTTGAGAAGGTGCGATTGGAATGAAAATAAAATTGTTTTCGACATTGACCAAGCTTTACACTTTTTTTTTAACGCTCACACGTTAGCTTTTCTCGCTCGCGTTACAACCAGGAAAAATGTTCGTAGAAGTAGGACTGCTTGAAAAATAAATGAAAAGTTTCTCTACACCCTCGCAATCTTCTACGACAGCTGCTGAGACCTTCGGTTGTCCCCAGCAAGGAATACACGTAGTGTGCAGAAAGTTTTGCTAATACCGCGACTACGACGATAAGTAAAATAAAAAGGAGAACACGACACACAGTGCAGAAGAAGATAGCGAGAAAGTCTTCAATAAGAGGTAGACGAGGCTTTGAAGTATCTCGAGACCGTGTCCCAGCCTTATCGCGTGTACCGAAATGCAAAGTCGACTCATTCGTACAGCAAAAAGTGCGACGGAAGTGAAAACAGAGAAGCTAGCGTAATCTTGTTTCGCGTATATCGTTTTATAAGTCAAAGAAATTTTTAACCTTACTTATTTTTACATGCACGTATACCGTACATGCCAATTCCAATAACGTATATTACCTTGCATACTATAATTTCATATA